ACCAACTTTCATCAGACATTACACCAAATGCTATGGATACTGAATTTTCAACATCTTCAGCCAGTTTACTGGAACGACCAACCAATCATACAGAGGCTCTTGGTCATGATCATTTAGGAACTAATGACCTCACTGTTGGTGGATTTTTAGAAAATCATGAGCCACCAAGAGATAAAGAACAATGTGCTGAAGAGAATATACCAGCTTCTTCACTCAATAAAGGAAAGAAATTGATGCATTGCCGAAGCCACGAAGAGGTCAATACTGAACTAAAAGCACAAATAATGAAAGAGATCCGAAAGCCAGGAAGAAGTATGTATAATTAGAGACAAATCTCAGATTTATTTTCTGTATGTGCTCAAAAAAATCAGAAGTCAAATTATGTAAAAGTATATATCTGATTCTAGATCAGTCTTGAACAACATCTGAGCTACTTTTAATTTGATTCTTTATTCTTCAGAATATCTGGCTATGTCCAAGGTTTAAGGTGTGGAAGGATGAAAGCTAAAGAAGAACATGCAGATAAATTACCTGTAGCTCCTACTATAACAGTCTTGAGTATTCTGACCAAGAACTAGAATTTTAATATAGCAACTCACCCAAAAAAAGATATAGTTAATATTAAATAATTTTATGTCTGTAAAGTTCTCATCCTAATGCCTACCACTGTGTTTAAGTTTTAAACTATGGCAGTGACAAAGAATATGTGTAGGCCAAAAAACTAAAATTATGAAAGCTTTGTACTTTATGAATGCAAAAGAACTTTATGGGGAAAAAATCTGAATATTACTGATATTCATTCAGAAGATGTTAGCAGATCATCTACTATGACGGTGATGGTACAGTGAGTGATCTGTAGGTAGGCCAGAAGAGGGTAAGATTCAGTCCTTGGCAGAGTTGTATGTGAAACATTGAGATTCCAACAGCACCCTTACTCTTTTTGTGTTTTTCCCTTCCTTTTAGCCACCATGTAGTTTAATTTAGAATTTAAATTATAAGGAGGGATTTTTATAAAAAGCCATTTGCCTCTTACCTTTCAATGGTACTACTGAAAAGCTTTTTATTCATCCTTCCAAGCTTTGTTTAAAACCTTAATGAGAGCTTTTGCCAAAAGAAGGTGACAAATTATTTAGTTTTTATTGATAAATATTTTCTTTCACATAGATATATTAAAATGTATTATAAAATCTTTAAAGAATGGTGATATTTTTAGGTAGAACTTTTTTTGTTCTCAGTATACCTTAATATAAAAAACTGCAAGAGGAAAAGTAATGAATGAAAATATAAATGAAAGCCACTTATTTTTTTTTTCTTGTTTGAAGAATATGAAAGAATCTTCACTTTACTGAAGCATGTGCAAGGCAGTTTACAAACAAGACTAATATTTTTACAAAATGTCATTAAAGAAGCATCAAGGTAAAATAAACGGTTTTATTTATTATGAATTAGTTATCTTGAAATGAGTTCCCAGTTTACATAGGCAGTATTTTAACAGTATTTGTTATTTATTTACTTTTGTTTATCCATGCATATGGCACGCTGAGATATATATGTAGTTCTTTTCGGGGGGATGGGATGTATTGGGGATTGAATCCAGGGGCACGTATCTACTGAGCCACACTCCCAGCCCATTTTTATATTTTATTTAGAGATGGAGTCTCCCATAAGTTGCTGAGGCTGGCTTTGAACTTGTAATTCTCCTGCCTTAGGCCTTTCAGAGCTGTTGGGGTTATAGATGTGTGCCACCATGCCCAACAAGAATTCTCTTAAAACATAGCCACACTGCCAGTGGTGGGCACACACTTGTAATCCCAATGACTTTTGGGAGGAGGATAGCAAATTTGAGACCAGTTTGAGCAATTTAGACCCTCTCTGAAAAATAAAAAAGGGCTAGGGATGTAACTTAATGGTTCAATACCAGTACCACCCATGGGGGAAAAAAGAGCCACATAGAAATTATTCAGGAATTATGGAACTTTTCCCCCTGCAGATGACTAAGTATTTTCAATATTATTATTATTCATCCTTCTCTGTAGTTTTTTTTTTTTCCTGGTGTTTTATGTTTTATAGCCTTTAATTTTTTACCTTTTTATATTAATAGTAATTGGTGATTAGAAATAATTTAGAAAGGCAATATTTGAATGCATTTAATTTGTACATGGGAATACATGTAATCAAGGGGACCAGAGTTCAGCAAATGGTCCTTATTCAGAGTGTTAGTGTTTCAGTAGTCCAGGATTATGTACTTTAGTACAAGGAATGTGGATCAAGGTTATAAATGTAAACTATGAAGTGCAATTAATTGGAAAGCATAATTTTACAAGCTTAAAAACATTTTCTACTTTTCTTTCAAGACAAATTTTAGTATTATGAGAAACATTAGGATTTATTTAATCTGATTCAAATATAAACATACTTATCCTTCAATTAGTCCCCTGTTTATCTCATGCTATATTATAAAAAATTTTGGAGAGAGCAGTTAATTTTTTCTTTTTCTTTTGGCATGGCTAGAGCATGGGTCTATCAGGATAAGGTCATAATTTTTCATACAAATTTGAATATTTAACATAATTTGTTCTTTGTAACTTTTTTCTGGTGAGTTCAAACTTCATTCTGAATTTAGCTAGAATATTGGCACCTGAACTCCACTTCTTAGAGAGTTGTGTAATATGGTGACTATTTGTGTTATTTTACAAATAAAGAGGAAGTAAGAATGGAATGTCTAGTAGTGTTTCAGGATATTATAAAAAAAATCAGTGATATTTATATAAATGAGTGCAATTTTAATCTACCTATGTTTATTACTTAAATTTTTCAAGAATTAACACTCAAACTTTTAATTGTTTCCTGTATAATAGCTATCTAATTATCCTTGATTTGCTATCTTTCAAATTATAATAGTAGAACACCCTTGTTTTTAAATGTAACTACCCAATTTTCATTTCTCTCTTCCTTTTTGTGTAATTCATGCTTTGTTCACATTCCTTTCAACACTCAACTTTCAAAGAGCAGAAGAATATAGTGCAGTGATTGCTTTGGGAGTCCAAATTTTACTGAGTATTTGGAATGCTTGCATATGTTAGTATTCCCTTTGCCCTGCTTTTACTCTTATGGTTGTAGGAAAAATAACACCTTTCTTGCTATTTGTAGGTCTATATTTGTTGTAGGAACAAACCAATATTGTTTGGGCACAAGTAATAGTTTACAAATCTTCATCAACAGATTTTATGTCATAGAGTGTTGATTTTCCATTTCACTTTTTAAAAAATCTTCCCCAAAGCAGATTTTTTTTCTATTTTAAAAACATATATTCTGGTATATGTCATCCATTAAAAAGTAATTGAGAACACTATTGTTTGTTTTCCAAACAGGTTTAAAAAACGAATGCTAATAGAACAACTGGAGAACTTCTTGGATGAAATTCATCGAAGAGCCAATCAGATCAACCATATTAATAGCAATTAAAGGAAAATGAGAATGTGGCCACTTATTTCACTATCTTCTCCAAATACAAAGTAAATACAAGACTGTTGTGATCTTGCATTCATTTTTTGACATGCATTGTTGGCTATTTGAAATACTAAAAGCAAATCTACAGATCCTTTTTCCATCATTTTACAGTGACCTTTTCTTCATTTTGGTTTATTTTTGTAATGTGAAAAGTATCACTCTAAAAAACATTTTTATTTAACAAACTAAAAATATTCCTCCAAATCTCTTGCTTGTCATTGACTCTTGCGTGTCAATTTCCCTCAGGTTCTATTTTCTTAAACCAACCTTTAAAATTGTCACCTCTGTTAAGGTTGAACTTTGCCAAAAAAAAAAAAAAAAAAAAAAAAATTAAAAAGAAGTTACTTTGTAATTTTTGGGGAAAAAAGCACATACGTTAAAACTAGGTAATGTTTTGTATATACAGTTATTTTGGATATATTATTGTAAGTTGTACAAATGTATTTTGAAGAATATTTAAGAAAGCACTTTTGTTATTCCATCAATAAATGCTCTATTTTACTCTTGTGTGGTTTAGGAAATAATCACATTCAAAATAATCATTTACAAACATCCTTAGATAATGGAATTTTAAAGGCCTTGCTTTTTAGCATTGGAAAACACACCACTTGAAGTTCATATTTGTTAAATCTAACTGTAATTACATGTTACATGATCTGCATTGTTTCTTTACTATTTGTTCATAGCTTTTGTTGGCCACATCAGTATATTCCCATTTCTGCTTGGATCATGGAAATGGCTATGTCTGTGGCAGCAGATAGACTCTAAAAGCTGTTTTAAAAAGCAGACAGCTTTGGAAGTTACTGATTTCCTTATCTCCCTTCAACCCTTTTTCCTTTCTCATAGGATTCTGGATGGTACTAACTTGAAGTTGTTAGTTAGGGAGTGATAAGTTTGGGGAATGCTACATACTCTGTAATAGCTTGCCTTTAGCAAGTTTGATGCCATGCCAAGCTTATAAAAGTCCATGCATGACATATTAGAGGTTTAGCGGTGATCTCTTCATTCTGCTCTGCAATTCTCAAACTCTCAATTTTATTTAGAAGCTAAATAGGAAAGGAAACAGATTTAAGATGATTTTGTTCATTTTGCATTCCCTCTGAGTTATACAGGCTGAGAAAAACCGAAACCATCCATTCTTCACCCTCAATCCAATGTGACCTTCTTTATCCTTATTGAGGATGCCATCCTGTGACTTGATAATTTTACCATTCATAGATCACTGCTGTGCCTTTTAGTAGTTTTGAGGGTAAATAGTAGAAAAGGTTAAATTTTTAGATTTGAATTGAGAGGGCAAATATGTCTATAAAATTATAATAAAATTGAAGTATTTTTAGGTTCATAACATTTGAAAATCACATACCCTTATCTTTATACATTTTTATCAGAACATTTTTAAATGTCAAAGGTATAGCAAAATGAAATTGTAACTAAAATTTTTATGAAGAAAAACACATGAAAATGTAGAACATCCTTGAGATCTGCTTAATTCAGTCAAGGGGATTTGAAACTCTCCCAATACTGAAGACAAATCCTGTCAAGATAAAGAAGCATTTAATGTAACATTATATAGTATTTTCATATGCAATTCTTTGAACCTTTTTTTTACCTTTACAAAATATCATCAAGTAAAGCAAGATACAATTTAATAATTGGAGTTATTCAAGTAATTGCCCACAGTTACATTGCTAAATTCAGCAAGAGCTACACAAAATCCAGAATGTACTGTCTGGTCTTGAATTTTATGTATTTAGATTAACAGTAATAGAAGACATAAAAAGTCATTCAAATAGAAGTTCATACTTAATATATATGAAAAAGATTAATTCCAGTGGCAGTTTTTTTGGTACTGGGGATTGAACCCAGGGGCACTGTATCACTGAGCTACATTCCCCAGCCCTTTTTTGTTCAGAGACAGGGTCTTGCCTACATTGCGTAAGGCCTTGCTAAGTTGCTGAGGCTGGCCTCAAACTTGCCATCCTCCAGGCTCAGCCTCCCGAGTTGCTGGGATTGCAGGCATGCGCCACCCACCATGCCTGGCAATAGTTGATTTTCATTTCACAGAGTGCTTATGAAGTAATGATTCTTTAGACCCTTGACCTTTAGTACATTTTTCAGAAAGAACTCTATAAGGACTTGGAAGTATCAGTTTATTCTGTCTCCTCTTTTTGACCTTTATCTCTCTTCCATGACATAACCTCATGCCAAAAATCTAGTCACAGAGTTTGAAACCCATCACAACCAAGCTTAATATCTCATCTCTCTCAGGCTTCTTTCATTTATTTAAAACAAACAAACAAAAACTACAGATGAGTTGGTTAACTTAGTGAACTTAGGCAGGTATGTCTTGAGACTCTTAGATCACTAAATGACATTACATTGGCAAATGGTATTTTCTGAAAGGTTAATGTTGGAAGTTTTTACATTGCTTTTTAAAAAATGTTCCCGTGTGTCTAATTTGTCGATTGATTCATTAGTTGCTCTTATCATTAAGCTTTGTCAGTTTGGAGTAGTGAAGGCCGAGACTTGTTTCTAATTTTCTCAGTAACTGTCAGTAGCCTCTTTGATTTGGGTGATATGGACAAGAGCCTTCCAGAAAGAAATGTAAACAAATTCACAAAGGCTATGCTTAGATTTGTGGTGGATTATTGAACTAGTTTTGAATTAGCCTTATATTTTCATTCTGATTGCTAAGGCAGTTCTGAAAACTAAAGTGGTGTGTCATTTCCTAGTTCAAGAATTGTACACCATTTTTATGCAGTTAATAGAATCTCTCTTTTAACTGTCATCAATCTTTATTGGCTTATCAGCATTTGGCAATGACCTTTCTGTTAAAGTTTAGCCTTATCTTGGTTTCTTGAGAGTAGAACCTACCTTTTTTTTTTTTTTTTTTTTTTTTGACATGTGACTCTCTGCTGCTTGTCCTGAGTGATAAGTGACATTTTCATCTAATCACTATGGGGTTGGGCAGATCATGGTGATAATGCTAAGTGGATATATTCTGTTGATGGACTTTTTCTCCCCAAATAATCCCTTAATAGATTATCTTCATCCTTTTGTCACAAAAATGTTCCTTTTATTTCTAGTGCAAGTAATGGCAGTATGCAAATGATTCTCAGATAAAATGATGTTGACAGTATTTCTTTAATTTGTGTAAAACTATGCTTAATTTTCATAATTCTAACTTTTGACTTTTTTTCCCTCTCCATAAATAAAAGTAATGCCTGATGTTTAGTTAAAGTAGATCCACCTTTGCTTCATTTTATTAGTCTTGTTCCATCCTATTTATTTTTAATACACTGTTTAGACTTGCCAACAACTCTTTACTGAGAATCTCTTCATTCCTAAATATTGTCGGGGGGGAGGAGGAACATTAAGAGAAATAATTTAAAGATTTTGTATCATGTTATTGAAGCTTAAAGGACATCTGCTTTTCTTTGTGATGTGCAAGGCATTGCCTGTATCACACCATCTTTGGGTTGAGATAAGACTATATAGTGGGACTTAAAAAGTTCTAAGGCAAATATTTGATTTTTGAGAAAGATAAATAGAGGAACAATATAAAAATCCAGATGAATTCACTAGAATTCTAGAGTCACTAGGGGTGTTCTCTGAGACACTCTTGGGGCCTGAGGAAACTGTCTTTTCCTAAAATGATAGGAAAGCCTAGAGAACAACTGGCCACAGGGGAAGAAAGCCGATATAGAGGTAGGGGTTATAGCTTAATGGTGGAGCACTTCCTAGCAAGTACCAGGCCCTGGGTTCAATCCCCTAGTGCCACAAAAAAAAAAAAAAAAAAAAAAAGCTATTTACTTTCATCATGATTTCTTAGTCTCCCCAAAAGTAGACACCTACAGAATTTAAAAAAAAAAAAAAAGCTTTAAATAAGCTGAGAACAAAAAGGCAGAAAACATGGAGAATAATAGTTCCTTTGTACTTATGAAATAGTCTCTCAGACTATAAGACAAATTCACAACTGAAAAGCTTCTGAAACACTATAGAAATAGCTAGAAGGATTGCCTGTTTTAGGTTGTAGGAACAGATGAGCCATTGATTCATAAATATTTAATTATCTCAATCCTATTAAAAAATACCTGTGCTGGGTTCTCTCAGGAAAAAGATGAATGGCCGATCTGCCTTAAAAACAGGAATCCGAGACCTTTTAAGTAACAACAGAGCTGCAAGAAAAGAAAGAATGGAAGAATCCCACTATATCTGTTATTTATCTGAAGAAAAGCACAATTTAGATTGGGTACAAATTCAATTATATACCTTGATTTTTTTTTTTTTTTTTTTTTTTTGAAAGAAACCAAAGCATTCTATGACATTTCATTGTTTGGTGTTTAAGGTGGGTGCAAAAGGGAAAAATAAGAATAAAAGATAACAGCCAAGCCTCTTATTTTTCAAAGATTCCATGGAATAAATTTCTTAGAGAAGGTAATTTTTAAAATTATTCTATTTCTTGTTTACGAGATGATGGTATAAATCCTTTCCAAAATGAATCTCTTCCATTTTTCAAAAGTGTTTCTGTTTTCTGTTAACATTATTATTATTATTATTTTTTTTTTAATACTAACTTCTGGACTGGGGTTTTTAATGGAAAGGTTTAGAATGGATGCAACTGGTCACATTTAGCAAGGGTAGATAGAAAGGGGCCAGCGTGTGGTGGGGGTTTCTGGACATACCTGTGCCTGCTGATGCCTTGGTGCCTTCCTCTGAAACCTCCAGCTTGGCTTTGTGTATTGCTTCAGAAACATAAATGCCATCCTGGCCTGGCCCCAGAAAAGGAAAAAAATGTGATTTGCTTGTTTACATTTTTCCAGACATTTAGTCTAAGTATTTGAGTACATTTTAAAAGAATGTACTTAAAACTTAGTTTCCATTGCTGCTTACTATATAGCTAGGGAGAAATTGTTTAGAAAATTATCAGCTTTCAATATTTTTATGCAACTTTCAAAAACCCAACTTGTTAAATTTATCTAATAATTCCCTCCTCCCCACCAAAATTAATATTCAGGCACTGTCCCATGTTTTCAATAATTAATTTTAAAAGTTAATCCTAGTTAACATTAAAATCTTCAGCCAGTATTTCTAAAACTTTAATTAATGATAAGAATTATATGAGTTAAAAGGCAGATTCTGTAGCCCAGTAATCATTTCCAGTAAGCTTCTGTGGTGATTTTCCTTGAGTCCCTTCTTGGATTGCATTTCTAAGAGTCACTTTTATGCAACCTTATTTATTTATTATTGTGGTGCAAGGGATCTAATCCAGAGCCTTGAAGCGTGTCGGCAAGTGCTCTACCACTGAACTACCTTTAAATGGTCAAGTTACAGGGTTTTAGCTTTAAGAGGCATAATTTACTGTATTAAAAATGTGTCTAATGTTGTGCAGCTGCATTCTGTGTGTCAGTTGCCTCTTGGCCCCAAATCTGCAGAGAAAATGGGAATGTCTAACTAATTGTGCTGTGCACTAACAGTCTCAAAAGATCTAAGCTTAGCAACTGGGACTGTGAGTGATGACTTGCAAGTGACAGAATTCTGTAATTTAAAAATTAACCATTTTGAAACAGTTCTCCAAAGATGAAATGGTAGTATATGGAATAGAGAATGAAAGAATCTTTAGAAGAAACTTCAGCTATTAAAGGGGGCTGTTAAGTCGATAAGCAGAATTGGAAACATGCAGGTTTTAAAACTCAAAGCCCATTTCCATCCCATCCCTCCACTCAAACACTACCACTTTTCAGAAAGTGTGTTCTAGTCAGCTCTAGCATGCCAACTAAAGGGATCTATAGCCTGCGTGTTAGAATAGTCAATTTAATGTATTTCAAGGGAGCTTTTTGTCTGTTTGGTTTTAGCCTAATTCATTTGCATTAGTCTTGCACATATAAGGAAATGGGACATGAGTGTCATATGGAAAGCCACCCCAGAATATAGAATATGCAGCATTTCATCCATCTTGTAATTAAGGTATGTCCAGGTATTGTGAGTTAGCTATGGTCACTATAAGGAGCAATCATTTGCGAGAATCAGGGGAGGGACAGAAAGGAACCAGAGGAAGGAGAAAATCTATGGAAACATTGATTTGGCACCAGAGAAGAATCTGGTTTATTTAGCAGTTAGTCTTTTTCTGCAGGACTTTTGAGAAAATAAGTTTATTTGTCAATAATTAGCCCTTCCTACTAGCTCGTTGAGCAACCACAGTGCCAGAATTAAAAACAATTTCTGGGTAAAGAATGATTCGTTGACAGTCGTGACAAGGTTTTACTATTTCTGTGACTTCATTACCATTTAGTATGATGTCTGAACATTTTAAATAAGTGATGAAATGAGTAGAGCTCACTATGAAACTCCAACTCCCTATAGACTAAAATACAGTCAGCGCATGTCTGTGTTAGTCTGGGCATGGTGTGAGAAATGTGGCCAACCGGGATGGATGTCTTCAGGAAGATAGGTTGGGTTATTTCAATGTCTTGAAAGTGAAGAGTTTCCTTTAAATATGTTTTCTCAATTAGACTACAGAAATGGTACAATAATTGTCAGCCATAAGCCAAGATCCATAACCTGTCATGCCTCAGTATTGACATCTCTTAAATTTTATCTCTGGCAAGAGTTGACATTCCAAAAGACCAACGTGATAAAAATGAGAATTTGGGAGATTCTGTGAGTTTTGAGTTTGCCTTTTGATCTTGGACTACACCTCCCTTTGCTTACTTTGGTTAAGCAATGTTGAAATGTTATGCAACTCATGAAATCAACCTAGAAGACTCTGAGCATGCGAGGATTTCCTGGCCTTTTTCTCTTCTGAAGTGTTGGCAGCTTAGTGTCTTTGAAGATCATACAGATCTTTTTCCCCAGGTCATTTTTAGGTGCTTTTCCACAGTTGATTAAATGTGGGAGACATGGCTAAACTCTTTTGCACTTTTGTTTTGAGTAGGGAACTTCTCAGAGCTAATAAGTTGTAATGTTTTCAATGAATGTTTACAGGAGGCTCCCAATACTTAGTGTTTAGCCATAAAACCATCTATACCACTCCTGTGCTCAAATTTACTGGACTAGCATTCTAGAAAATATGCTTAGGGAAATGAGCAGTATAAACCCATTCACTCCTGTTTACATTTCAATACCTAAAGCAAAGGCGTGGGCCCTTTCCTGCCCTCCCTCTGTCATACTTCCCACTTCTTCCATAACATCTTCTACCAGTGCTTACCCTCCTTTTTCAATTGTCAGCACTAGAAGGGAGAAATGACTTAGTCATTTTTAAATACTTCGTTGCCCAACTTGCATAATCTTGTTAAGATTATGTGTTTACTAAATTACTGGATGAATTAATAATAAACCCTCACAACCATTTGCCTCATTTCCCCCACAAAGAAATTGTCCTTTGTGTTCTTTAACAGTGATTACATCTATAAGAAAATGTTGGTTAGTGTGTCGAACAGCAAGCACACAGCAAGTCTCGGCCAAATGATTGTTTCAGTTCCCCTGACTCCCTTTGTTGATGGAGGCTATTATTCTTTTGTGTATGGTTGGTCACATTCTCAAAAGGATTCGGAGTCTTTATATTGTGACTGTGTAAACACGAGATTTGTAAAATGGGTGTCTCTACATTTACTGTATTGTTAGGGGCTTTAAAAAATTATTTTTTCCAGAACTTGCATCTAGCTTACCTTTCTCATCTTGTCATTTAGCTGCTAAGAGATGGAGGGGGTGTGTGTGTGTGTGTGTGAATTTCACACAGAACCTAGCCCAGGATATAGAGAAACAACACTAAGAGGAATCTGAGATGGCTTCTGAACTTAGGCTGTAGTTAGTTTCTTTCTCCATTTTTCCTAGTGTTTATCTCACTCATTACTCCTGTCTGTGTAACTCTACCAAACAGCTGGTATGATGTATGTTAATTCATGTACTCTGGATGGTTTGCTCATTTGAAGTCATAGTAAGTCAAAGTAAGAGAGCCTGGTACTTCTTACTGAGCAGAGATTGGAAACTGATTACTTGCTTATAAAAGCAAAGAATAGTTTCGTGCTTGTGTATAAGGAATGTTTCCTGGACTAAAGGAAGTGGATCTATCTGTATCAAAACCTGGTGATCCTAAAGGAAGTATTCAAAAAGATTCTGCTTGGTCTCTTTACTGCGAATGAGACTAGAATTACTTTTTTTAAAAATATATTTTTCTTTTTTAGTTGTTTTAGTTATTTTATTTTGCTTTAGTTATTTTATATTTGGTGCTGAGAATTGAACCCAGTGCCTCACACATGCTAGGCAAGTGCTCTACCACTGAGCTACAACCCCAGCCCTAGAATTACTTTTAAAAGTTTCATAACACCTGGTGTCAAGGATGTCTGGTGTGGGGGGAAATTGTGCCATGGGCTCAACTGAGCCTTGAAATGATGTTGAGTCAGTTCTTCAAATAGGAAAAAAAAAAAAAAAAAGATACAAAGAAGAGACAGGTGACTTTTAGGTAGGGAAGGAGAACTTGAATAAAATGATTCAGGGCTTTGAAACCAAATGGAAAAAGGCCAAATATTCTCTATGATTGTTGGACTTCCATCAATAGTACAAAACTGCTTGGTGACCTCTTGTTAATTGAAGGAAGAGAGGTCAGCATTTTCCCATCACATCCTCTCTGGTTAATTCTCAGCAGATGTTGTGATATATTAAGACCTTTTATTTCTACAATTAAGAAATGAGATTGGTGATGGCTACCTCCATTTTAGAAATGAAGAAACTGTTTCTTGGAGAGGTTCAGTGGCCATGTCTCAAGAATGAAGCTAGAAGCCCACTTGGGCATAGATGTGATTTGACTAGTCTTGATTATGTTTAAAGAAGGTCATTGGAAAAACCATACTTTAGTAGGCAAACTTTTTCTATAACAGGCCAGATATTGAAAGTTTATCTATTGTGAGCCCTGTGGTGTTTGTTATTACAACTCAGCTCCACATTTGTAGTAGGAAAGCAGCCATAAATTATTTTTAGATGGATGGGAATGGCTGGCCATCATTTGCTGACTCCTGTCCTAAAGGGATAAAACTTATTGGGAGAAGGTTATAATGCTGGTGTGTCTTGTCAGTAAGAAACATGAATATAAGCTTTGCATCTGACATGTGGAAACTGCCAGGTAATTATTCAATAAACCAGATCTATAAACATGTTGGATTGAACAGATATAAGCAGACTTACTGTATTAGGGGAAAAAATGGTGAGGTGTTCAAACAGGGGCTCTTAAAACTACGTGGCTTGTTAGAACTTATGAACTTTGAATGTCTTTACCAATAGGGGGCTGCAGGGTGTAGGTTAAGGTCAGACCTATTTGAAGACACAGGACTGATGGCATTTTAGCATGTTCTTCTAGGACATAAAGGAGATTTATGAGTTATGAAGGAACAATCAGTAAGTTGTAGCAATTAATTATAGTGGTGTGGACAAAAAGATCAAAATGTCACACACACCCTTTTGCGAAGGGGGGCAGTAGGTATTAAACTCAGGGTCCTAAAGTTTGAACTTGGATGATCAAAAGAAGAGTAGAATATCTGTCAGCAACAGGATGCCATAACTGAACTCCGGAATCTTGAGAAGAGAGAAGCAAGATTGGATTTTGCACATAATTGAAGATAGATTGCACTTTAGTTCTTCATCCCTTACTCCTTCCTGTCCTTTGATGTTTTTTTTTTTTTTTTTCACTGTAGTATTTTTCCTTCCCCTGAAGTGTCATTAAGGAATATTTCTGGTTAAGTCAATCACCAAGTCAACAATATTGTATTGGTGGTTGTGGCCAAACTTGACTATTGTGCACATTTAGGCAATAAGTACAGAGGTTTCCCCCCACCCTCCCCCCATGCTGGGAATTATCCAGGACCTAGCATATGCTAGGCAAATGTTCTACCCTGGAGTTACACTACCAACCCCAAGGTGTTGGACTTTTATAGAAGGGACCCTTGCTTCCTGTGTTCTATTTGTTAAGTAACTGCCTTTCAACTGGTCACATCTAAAGCTCAAGTCAAGTCTTGTCTTGTAGATCAAATTCACATTATTCTTTGTGATTGCTTAAGAAGGAGATTCTGGACAAAGTTTTAGAACACTTGACTGTGTTATGATTGTCTAACATTCAAAATAGTGATTCTCAAGTTTATCAGGTAAGGGGCATGTGAAGACCAATGAGAATGCCTGCTACACCTTGTCATCCTCACACAGATAATTTACCATCCAGAGTAGAAATAAACCTGAGCCTTTGGGTTGGCAATAGTTTAGCCAAAGTTGTTCTGAGAAGATTCTGGAATGTAAGTTCTGGCATTCTGCTCCCTTTTATGTTTGATATAAGTTCAGATCACAACTGAACACAGCCCTTTTTGATTGTTAAAAGCATGTCAACTATGGGCAAAGAAATTCAGTGTATATGCTGGAAAGGAGAACGTTTTAGGGCAAAGATATAAGACCATGAGTTATTTGAGGAAAGGAAATTTGGTGCATTAGGGGGAAGTTCACGTTTAGCTCATTAGAAGAGAACAGAGGAGGTACAGGGAGTGAGGATGGGAGAGGAAGCAGCAAGGAAGGGTGACTGGGAGGCTGGAATGACAGCGGGAGGTTCAAATGGAAAGTTCTGTTGCAGTGCCTGTGCCTCTCTACGGGCCCAGTGGCAAAGAATAGAGCACTGTGGCCACTGACGGCACTGGGAATGCAGTCTCCAAAATCTGTGCTTAAAGGTCTCAAGGCATAGACTGTTATCAAAAGCAGCACATTCTTATATAAAGCAAAGCAATTTTATCCTCTGATATAATGTTTGAATTATATCAGAGGATATATTTGGCTATTTAGCACTGAGGGCTCTGGGGAAGCAACGAAAGCCACTTAAAGTATAACAAAACTGTCCCAAACATAATACCAACAAAGCTTGGAAGAATTTTTGTTACCTGAAATTCCTTTTAAGTTAGCTTTGAGTGGATCAAAAAGATCGGTGACTCCCCAGGCACTTAAAATGCTCTTTAAGTCGAATTGATTTTGGATCCTAAATCTAAAAAATAAGAACAAACCATCAACTTTCATTTGGAATTTCTACTCAATGTGCTTCATACACACCACACAAAGTCCAAAGTTCTAACGTGGAAGTCAGGGTCCACCGGATTTCATTTCAGCCTTATCTTCGATTGCTCCTTCCTGTAAGCACTACCCCTTGACCAATCTGACTGCCCACGGCTGTTTCCCATCTGTGTGCTTTTGCTCAGGCTGTTCATTCCAAGTTCCCCCCTTTTCCCTTAATCACCTTCTAATGATTAAAGATTCCTCTACTGTTACCTTCTTCTCTTCTCTCCAGCTGTTTTGTGACCTTGGTTCATTCTTAAAGCTCCATTAACATTTTTTCTACTCTAATGTATAGAACAGTCTGCTTCCTATTACCATTCTTCATGATAAGCTACCCACAAAAAGAGGTTATCCATGTTCTTTTTTCTTTCTTAGTAATAATATTTAATGAGCACTTACATTGTTCTAGGCACTATGACAGAGCTTTATATGGATTATCTCATTTCATCTTCATATGACTCTTATTATTATCCTCACATTACAGATGGAAAAAGTGAGGCTGCCCAAGATGATCTAGCAAGGATGCGGGGGAACCTCAATTCAAAGCAAGACAGTGTGAGTGCAGAGTCCCAGCTCTGATCATCTGCACTTGCTACCTCCTATTTCAGGTGGCATCACACACATAGGTGCCGAAAAGAAGTGACTGACCAATTGACAATTAATAGAGCATCTCACTGTGTTTATATTGGATAAGACATTTTCATGTTTGCTGTGTGTAGTGTGTGCCTTGATGCAGAGCAGAGAAACTTGGTTATCCTTTTGAGCAGGAAGTATCAGCACACCAACTTTACAATATTTCCCCAAGGGTAAGGCCTTAAAGATTTAACCACTGAAGAATCCTTTCAATGGGATGCTGCTATTTTTCTTTGGAAAAGAATTTTGAAGTGGAATTTAGATTTTTTTTTCTATAAACCAGAAAGAATTTGCCAGAGAGTAAAAACACTGGACAAGACCATTTGATATCAAAGGTCTTCATTGCTATATGAGACAATGTGACTAGTTTTAAGCAAAAGTAGCAGACTTTCTCATCAAAGTGTCTTTTGGACTTTCAGAATAGTTTCAAAAAAAGGTATTGTGCTGCCTTCATGTATGCTGACATTTTTCAATGACCACCTCTTCTGAAATTTTCTGAAGTACTGAAACATACCTTTCAAGAATTCTAAATGCTGAAACATAGTGGTTAAGAGTATATGTTTGAGAATATGGAGCCTGAGTTTGAATACTGGCCCAACCTCTTTCTAGGTGAAGGAGTAGTTATTTCACCTCTGATGCAAGTGACTTCACTTCTCTTTGCCTCAGTATCCTCTTCTATAAAATGAACATAAGAGGGGTTCTTGTTTGTAGGGTTGTGAAGGTTAAATGAAGTATCCTTGTCAAGTGTTCAGAACAATGCCCAACACAGCCTGTGTACTTATTGTTGCCATTGTGGTTTTATTGATGTTTCTCAAAAGATATTGAGAAAGAGTTATTGTCTCTTTGAAACCAAGTATAGTGATTAGGATGGGTGATAAAACTGAATTTTTAGTAAATTAAGAACAGCAGTGAAAGGGAGGTATGACTACAAAAGATTAAAGTGATTTTCTTATATGAGTACGGAGGTAGCTCAAGAAGAAATGCTATAAAAACAGCTTGAGTAAACAAAAAACAAAAAAAAATTGCCCTTTACCAAAACTAGAAAAAAAATATAAGAAAACTATAAACCAATATCTCTTATGAATATAGATGTAAAGACCACACCAAAATACTAGCAAACTGAATCCATACCATATAAGTCGCATGATAATCAAATGAGTTTTTTCCCAGGAATTTAAGATGGGTTCAACATACGAAAATTAAGATAATGTACCAGAATCAGAATAAAGAACCAAGATCACATGATCCTCTCAACAAGTGCAGGAAAAAGCTTGATAAAATCCAACACCTTTTAATGATTAAAAGCAATCATCAAATACTCAACCAACTTGGGATATGAGGTAACTTCCTCAAATTGATGAGGGGCATCTACAAAAAAAAAAAAAAAAAAAAAACCCGCAACATCATAGTTTGTGGTGAAAGAGTGAAATCTTTCCCTCTAAGTTCAGGAACAAGCAAAGGATGTCTACTCTCACCATTTATGTTTTACCTTGTACAGGACAATTACACAGGAAAAAGAAATAGAAGGCATCTAGAAAGGAGAAGTAAATCTATCTACTTTCACAAATGACTTGGTTTCGTGTATAGAAAGTCCCAAAGAAAACACACACACACACACACACACACACACGAATGATTAGAACTTTAGAACTAATAAATGAATTTGTCAAAGTGGCAGGAGACAAAATAAAAATATAAAAATCACTTGTGTTTCTGTACACTAGCAATGAACAACATGAATACAAAATTGGGAAAATCATTCAAGGTTGGTTCAACAAACAAATCAATAATATAATTCATAACACCAATAGACTTAAAGATAAGAATTACATGATTATCTTAATAGATGCAGGGAAAGTATTTGACAAAATATAGCATCCATTCATCTTCAAAACACTAGAAAAACTAGGGGTAGTAGAAACATACCTCAACATTGTAAAAGCTATATATGTTAAACTCCAGACCAACATCATTTTGAATGGGGAAAAATTGAAAGCCTTTCCTCTAAAAACTGGAACAAGACAAGGAGGCCTTCTTTCACAATTTCAATTCAACATAGTCCTTGAAACTAGTCAGAGTAATTAGGCAAAATAAAGAAATAAAAGGATACAAATAGGAAAAGAAGAGCTCAAGCAATCCCTATTTGCTGATGACAAGATTCTATATTAGAAGACCCAAAAAACTTCACTAGAAAACTTCTACAACTCATGAATGAATTCCAAAAAGTAGCAGGATATAAAATCAATACCCATAAATCAATTGTGTTCCTATACCTCAATGATGAATCATCTGAAAGAGAAATTAGGAAAACTATCCCATTCACTATAGCTTTAAAAGTAAACAAACAAACACACACTTGGGAATTTTCAATCTAACAAAAGAGATGAAAGACCTCTACAATAAAAACTATAGAGCACTAAAGAAAACTGAAGAAGACCTTAGAAGATGGAAAGATCTCCCATATTCATGGATAGGATAATTAATATTGTCAAAATGGCCATACTACCAAAAGTGCTTTATAGATTTAATGAAATTCCTATTAAAATTCCAATGACATTCTATGACATTCTTCATAGAAATAGGAAAAGCAGTTATGAAATTTATTTGGAAAACTAATAGGCCAAGAATAGCCAAAGAAATACTTAGTAAGAAAAGTGAAGCAGGAGGCATCACAATTCAGCTCTTAAATTATGCTACAGAGCTGTAGTAACAATTCCACTTACAATAGAATAAAAAGGAATAAAATACTTGGAAACAGATTCACCAATGTAAGTGTAAGATGTGTCCAGTGAAAACTACAAAACATTGCTGTAAGAAACAGACCTAAATGAAAGACATCCTGTATTGATGGCTTGAAACACTTATGTTATTAGAAAGCAATATTCTCCCAAAGCAATCTACAGATTCAACACAGTCCCTATCTAAATTTTACTGACCTTTTTGGAAGAAATTGATAAGCTGATCTTATAATTCATATGAAAGTGCAAGGGGCCAGGAATAGTTAAAAATCTTGAAAAAGAATACGGTTTAAGGACACATGCTTCCTGATTTCTAATTTTCCACAAAGCCACAGTAATCAAAACTGTATGGTACTGGCAAAGGTTCCAGATATTTATGCCAATAGAACAGAATTGAGAGTCCAGAAGTAAACTCATACATTTGACAATGAATTTTGACATTGGTACCAGGAAGATAGTCTTCAACAAACAGTATTGAGATAAGTGGGTAGCCATATGTAAGTGAATGATGTTAAACCTTTATATCAGATCATAAACAGTGACAGTTGAACATATAGGTTGAAGTGCACAGGTCCACTTATATTGGATTTTCTTTCTTTTCTGGAGATTTGTAATAATTTGAAACAAACCTCTCTCAGTCTAAACATATAGTCTAGAAATACCAAAAATATTATGAATATATATGGCACCATTTGTAATCCAGAGAAACATAAACAAATGCAAAGATGGAGCATAAATCGTAACTATGTAAAATCAACTGTAGTACATGTTGTTCTACTGTGATGCTTTTGTAACTGCCTCTTGTTACTGCAGTGAGCTCAAGTAGTATATTAGCTTACAATTCCACGTGACCCTGTTCATCTCTGCATGAGCAGGTCTTTTCTCCAGTACATTGTGTATCTCCATAAATAGTGATTGCTAGCACATTTTTCACCATAAATAATATACATATTATACAAAAAATTTTGTAAAACAACTTTACATCATTGTTAAGACTTCTGGTCAACAGCAAGCTATTAGTTGTTAAAGTTTTGAGTGAATCAAAAATTATATGCAGATTTTCTACTGCAAGGGGGTTGATTCCCCTAACTCCCATGTTGTTCAAGGGTCAAGTATATAATAATTAATTCAAAATGAATCAAAAGAGATAAGCCTATACAACTCTTAGGAAAAAAGCATAGACATTATCTCTGTGACCTTGGTTAGGCAATGGTTTCTTAGCCATGGTATCAAAAGCACAAGAAAGAAAAGAAAAAAAAAAATAGATGAACTGAGCTTCATAAAAATGGACAACTTTTGTGCTTTAAAGATGAAGAAATTGAAAAGACAACACACAGAATGGGAGACAATATTTATAAAGCTTATATCTAATGAGGGTCTAATATCCAGAATAAATAAAACAACAACTCAACAACAAAGATAACCAATTTAAAAATGGGCAAAGACTTAGGTGCAGTAGCACATGCCTGTAATCACTGTGGCCTGGGAGGCTGAGGCAAGAGGATCACAAGTTTATAGCCAGTCTCAGCAACTTAGGGAGGCCCTGAGCAACTTAGCAAGACTACATCTCCAAATCAAATATAAAAAAGCTGAGGATGAGGCAGCGATTAAGCACCCCAGGTTCAATCTTCATTTCCAAAAAAATGGGAAAAGGATCTGAATAGATTTTTTTTTCTCAAAAAATGCATAAATGATCAACAAGTGAATAAAATATGTCATACATTACTAGTAATTAGTGAAGTACAAATAAAAGCCACAATGAGATACCACTTCATACCAACTAAGATGCTTTAATAAAAATTGATGGACAGTAGCAGATGTTGATAAAAATGTAGAGAAACTGAAACCCACAGATAAGTCATGGGCATGTAAGATGGTGTAGCCACTTGGAAAACATCCTGGAAATTCCTCAAAATGGGTTTCCACATGACCCAGGAATTCTCTTCTTAGGTGTATATCCAAGACACTTAAAAATATATATCCACACAAAATACATGAATTTCATATACATGTATTTTTCAATCCAGAGAAACATAAACAAATGCAAAGATGTTATGGTTTGTTTGGCAAAAAGTGGAAACCAACAGAAAAGTGTCTTAGACCTCCAATATTTATGAATTAATGAATTTATAAATTATAATTTAAAACATAATTTTGTAAATTTAAAACAAACTTAAACAAAATATAGTATCCATGCAACAGAATATTATTCAACTACAAAAGGACTGAAGTAGGGCTGGGGATATAGTTCAGTTGGCAGAGTGCCTTGTATGCACAAGGTCCTGGGTTTGATCCCCAGCACCAAAAAAAAAAAAGACTGAAGTACTGATTCATGCTATAAGGATGAACTTTAAACTTTACGTAAGTGAAAGACTTCATATACAAAGAACTACATGGTATGATCTAATTTACATGGAATGTCCAGAAGAGGCAAATCAATGGAGAAAAGTAGACTAGTGATGGCCTGGGCCCGGGAAGAGGGAACTGAGGAGCAATGGCTAATGGGTGTGGGGATTCTTTTTTAGGTGATGAAATGTTCCTGAATTAGATAGTAGCAATGGTGGTACAATTTTGTGAATATACTAAAAACCAGTGAATTGTGCATGTTGAGAGTGAATTTTAAGGGGATTAAAAAAAGAAGAAAACAACTTTAGAAAAGTATAGACCACCCATGATGATGATTAACAAGTCCTTGAAGGGGGCAAAACTTGTTTTGGATATATGAGGTCTGGTGGATTTTAAAGACTGTGGTGTAGATATGGTTTGGATGTGTTCCCCAAAGACTCATGTGCTAGAAGCTTGCCACAGTGTGATGGTGTTGAGATGGTGCAACCCTTAAGAGGTGGGGCCTAGTGGAAGGTGATGAAGTAACTGGGGCAAGATCCTTGAAAGGGATTAATATAGTATTTTGCAGTTAGTTACCAGGAGAATGTGTTGTTTAAAAAAAAAAAAAAAAAAAAAGCAAGCCTGGTCACCAAATCTCTCTACCATCCTGTTCTTCCATTGATCTCTCCCTCTTGCATGGACTCCTGCCATGATGCCATCTGCCATATTGAGATGTAGCCAGAAGGCCCTCACCAGAGCTATGCTGATGCCAGCACTATGTTCTTGGAACTCCAGAACTGGAACTAAATAAACCTCTTTCCTTTATAAAGTGCCCAGCCTCATGTATTTTTTCAAGCCAATAGAAAACAGACTAACACATTATCAACTTCCTACTATGTTGACCTAATCACCAAATGTTTTATTTATCAAATGTGTATTTGGTATTATTAGTCTTTGTGGATTACATGGTCATGGATGTACATGATCCTTAAATACTCATTCTTAGTTTTCTGGTTATTTCTTTAATATGATAATCATTCCTAAGAAAGACTAATGGTCCCTATGCATTTTATTCTATTTCTTTATAAGTAAATGGTTACTTTGGAAGCTAGACATCATAATTCATCCAGAATCTACTAATGCACTGCTTGGTTATGTTTAACCCCAAAACACATTCATTGTCACACAATTTTTGCTTTGATCCCAACAGTGTATAAAATTTTTTGCTCTTGTGCAGTGAAAACTGCATGCTGACTGCAGAGCAGGCTATACTAAATGATGAATGAATGATTTGAGGGAACTAAAGGTAATTAGTTGTTCAAAAGTTGACTTTGGGTCTACTGTGGTCCATAGTTTATATCTAAACCTAGACTTAAAACAGTTTTAATTTATTTTCAGTTTATTCCCTAAAGGCATTAAAGCTAAATTTTAAAAAAAAATTATCTAGTTTTGCTTGTGAAATGTTCTTATTTTCCTAAAAACGTCTACCCTTCTTGAGTAAGAGGCTTGATAGACTTAGGGAGATCTTAAAAACTTTTATCAGAATGAAATCAAGTTATTAACTAACAGTTGGTTCACTAAGATCCCTGCCTTCTCCCCCTCCCTCCCCTGACCTCCAATGTTTTTCAGGATCCTTGCTGGAACATTTGGGACTCCTAAAGCAGAATTGGAAGACAATGGAGATTTGGGGCACATTTTTTTCAAGGGAGCGGCACTGGGCTTCTTCCCCTGTCCTGAGAACTGGTTGTGGCATGAAGCTGGAGGCAGAGTATCTGGTCTTGGGAAGACCCCCAGGAAGTAAGTTCACTTCAGTCTGTGCCATGAGCAGTGATTCTGAAATGGACTCCCCATGGTCTCCTCCCAGGGTCTTGCAGAATCCTGGAACTGGCCTGGGGATTTAGCAGGTCAGCAATTACCTGTGTCAGAGGAGCCAGGGAAACCAAACAGTGCCAACCCTGGGAAAAGACTGGAGAGTTCTCAATGGAGCTGCACTTTTCCCTGGGGCCCCCTGCTTACATCAGCTGCTTCAGGAAGAGGCAGCCAACTTTATCCTAAGACGGTGGTGAAACCCTGCAGCAGGCTGCTTTTTCTCTACATTTAACAGCAACAGCCTCTTCCTCTCTTCACTGAGCTTCTCTCAGATATAACAGGAAGATAGGGTCTGCTTCTGCTCCACGCCCCAGAGATCTGTTGAAATGTCCAGGCTTGGGGCTTTGGTAGTCTGAATATTTGGTTTTAAGAGACAGACTATATCTTCGAGTTCAGTTCACCTTCTGCCCTGGACTGTGCCTCATCCCACTTTAGATCTTGGCCCTAACTCACTGGGTCTCTGTATGTTTTTGTTCCAGCACACAGGCTTATTTTTAACTGCTCAGGGAAGAACCGCCAAGGCCACTGCCCTTGCCTGCTGAGAGCCCTGGCTGTGGAGTGAAAGCTAGGCCACCAGTGGATGGAGCATGACATCACACATTGCAAAGGAGGCCCTGGACAGCGACGCTTTCTTATTGCTGGTCTACAAATCTATTATAAATTCTCTCTCATCTCAACTGCACCAGAGAAGCTCAACATTTAAAGAAATCTTTGGTGGGATCCCTTCATAAAATAATGAGTCTTGTTAACACTGTGCTTTGGAAAAGCAAAATCTAGTGCTATTATTTCACTTGGAAATTTGTATGTGTACTTATTAGGGTTTCTTAAGGGAGGGATTGATTCCCTCTATTTAGGACCAATAAGAACCTTCCACACAGAGACTTCAAGTCTCACATTTTTATGCCTTAATTTGGTTTCTGATTAGAATTTTATTTGGTTAATTTCATAAGCCATTTTACCTCTTTGGTTTTGGGAAAATGATAGTTGTATTACTCTTTAAGATGTGGTAAGATTTGGGGCACATTCTTTCAAGGGAGCAACACTGAGCTTCCTCTGCTGTCTCAGAAACTGGTTGAGGCATGAAGCTGGAGCAGGGGTTGTGGGAGCATGATTTCAGAAAAGAGTGCTGGGTCAGGTGGCAGGGTGGCAGCAAACACAAATGACCTGCTAGGAAGACCCAGTGAGAACAAAAGTGTCTTGGGGCAGACCCTGGGAAGTAAGTTCATTTGGGTATGTGCCACGAACTGATCAGTAGTGTCTCTGAAATGGACTCAAACTCTAGGGTAATTTCCCATTGTCCTAAGCTCTGGAGGAGCATTAAACAAGCCAGCCCAGTGGGTAAAGAGAGATGCTTGAATCAGACCACTTGGCTCCAAATCTGGGCCCTGTGGACGGCTGTAAAGTGGATGGAGTCACTTACCTGGGGAGGAACACGTCCATCCTAGTTCTTTTCAGCCTGGTGGTCCAGAGGTGGATGACTCTGGCTGTGAGGTGTGGTTCAATGTAGCCCAAGGGGGCACCTCTGTCGCGGGGCAGCACGAGGAATAGACTTGCTGTGCTTCCCAGGTAAGGTAGCTCCAGGACCCCCACCTGATGGCCTGCAGTGTCCTGGAACTGGCCTGGGGATTCAGTGGATAACGAATTAGCTCTGTCCTAGGAGCCAGGGGGACCAAATAGTGCCACACCATTGGAAGAGGCAGGTTTACAGGACTGTAAATAATAAAATAGAAGATCTTCTTGCTCTCAGGGAGCAGCATGAGGCTGACGACTGTTGAGTGACGTGGTCCCTTCACTGATCCTAAGGCACAAGGGCCCAAGTCATAAGGCCTGCAGTGGCTGGGCTGGATGATGATGATGGCATAGGGTAGAACCATATACCCTGACTTAAAGGGGAAGCCCATTAAATCCTGGCCTGGGGACCCAGGCCTTTTGTGCCAGATCTCCCTATCTTTCAATTAAAACTCTTAAGTCCAAATTTCCTGTGAGATTTCCCAACCTTTAAAGCACGACACAGACCAAAATAAAAACCATGAGTCCAGTCTAGATTTGACCTGGAGACGGACCAATTGTAACCTGTGAACTAAACAAACAGGTCTCAGGAAGGGCAGCTGGGAGCCCATGGACAATGAATGTGGCTGGCTGAGGACAAGTCTAGGCTGCCAAGCAGAGCATAATTTCAAAAAAGTGTGATGGGTCAGGTGGCAGGTGGCAGCAGACACAGATGACCTGGCAGGAAGACCCAGCAAGAGTTGCTAGTGAACAAACAACCAGTGACTGGGCCCAGTGACAAGAAAAAGATAGTGAGTCATGTAGGCAATCCAGGGGGCAGTGAGCCTCAGGTGGACCCCAGCCCAGATCCCTTCCTTGGGAGGATTTCAAGACCAAGGCCTTGGCATGTGTCGGGAAACAGCAGAGTTGGCTGCCGGTGAAGGCAGAATCTTAGGCTCAGTAGGAAGAGACGGGGACACAGTTCCTAGTGCATATTTCAGCTATTCTGTGGTTACTTATTCACTGTCCTTTGTGTGCCAGCCACCATGCTCTGCACCCTGGGTGTGCTGGGAAGAACAAAAGCCACCTAGAGCCTGCCTGTCATCACACAGCCAACAGTCAAAACACCCAGCACACTGACAATAGCAATGATAAAATGATAAAAATAAAAACCATAATAAATTGTTCTTGCACATTTGTTTATCCAGTAGACATCCTTCTCCTCTTACTCTACCTCCACAAGCAATTATTGGTTGATTAAACAGATAAGTGCCTTTACTGAGCACTCACATGTGCCTGGATGGAAACAAAGCAGGACTACTTGCTAGCTTTCTAAATGCCAAAGTTCCAAAGATGCTGATTGAAATCTCACTGGCTTTTCCCTGAATAAGAACATAATGAGACTCAGAGGCTGCAGGAGGCTAAGCCTTCAGCAAGAATGAGGCTTGAGACATGGCTTCGGAGAAGTGTGTAGCAAGAAGTGGGGCCTGTTCTCCTCTGCGGTGCAGGGCCTACTGAGTCCACCACCCACAGCAGGCTGCTGGGATGGGGACCTCCAGGCATGCACCAGCATTGGGCAAATCCCGCCCGCCGCACCTCTATCTCACCAAGATGAGTGACCATCAGGCAGGTGGGTACACAGAACCATGGCATTTCAGGAGCAGTGGCTGCCAAGCAGAGCCTCCTCTGGGAGGCTTTGGAGAGCATTTTAGTCTCAATCTTCCTCCTTGTTCAGCACCCATTTTATCAGAGTTCCTGCCAGGGCAGGCGGTTCAGTTCAAACATTTTTGATTTCACATTAACTCTATTCTTAGTAAGTGCAGAAGGAAATGTCAAGCATGAAATTGGGTTGTGCTCCACATCTGTGTCCACACTGTCTTGTCAGCACACACAGTACACAGACCCCTTTCTCTAAGTCTTTTGCCACCTGGGCTTTCCTTTGGCCAAAGCCGTGGCCCTGACAATGGACTCACATGGAGACACATCTCAATCCTGATCCTTTGGGAGCAGAGGCCTGACCTTCCCTCTCCTGCCCACAGGGCCCCGGGATTCCTCCCACTTCAGACAGCTTAGGGGAAGGGGCTTACCATAGTTGACCTCAGCCATTTGGTGCATCATGGGGACCTGGAAGATGCGGCCACGAGCACAGGTGAAAGGCAGGGGCTGTGAATTGGTGGAGGAGAATCTCCTCCTCCACGTGCTTTGGAAGGTCATGGTGCTCACCACTGCGAGCTGAGCAGATGCTGCGTTGATCTGCTCCCACGGCAGGCCACCTGGGCTCTTACCTGTAAGCAGGTAAGATTGAACTGAACACAATATTATGTGTAGAGAAGGAGTGCAGAGTTAAAACAAACAAACAAGATCTTTTTTGATGTAGTATTCTCCATCTCTCTCTCCCCCCTCATGTTTCCCAGTGTCTTTTTGGTTTACTAAAAATGTTTTAATTCCCTGTCTCAGCTGCTCATACTGCCAGGGGATCTGAGGTCACACTAGCTGCTCTCAGCTTGGGCGGTGGGAATAGAAAGTGAGAACTCAGAAGTGAGTCTGAGTCCCTGACACCTGCCCACGGGCTCTGGGGGTCAGTGAGGCATTTCCAAAGATGGGCTGCAGCCTACTTGTTCATATCCATTAATGGTGAAATATGTACACACTTCTAAAGAGCTGCTGCTGAAGACCATGCCTTTGTTCTTCCCTGAGCATTTTGGGGGGCTCCCTCTGGTTCTGTCTAAAGCCATTCTTTTTCTAGACAGACCCCTGAGGAACTAGGTGTAGTGTCAGGGAGGTGCCACACTGTGTCACCCCTAGATCTCCACTGACCATTGCTGAGCTGTATCCCCTTCTGAGACAGCAATGTCCAGAGAATTGTCTCTGGAGGGCTGAAGTTAAAATTTCATGCATTACCAGAAAGAGGACAGGCAGACTACCCCTACAGGGACAGTTTTTTTGTCCTGGCCCTTTATTTGTTTAATAAACATATTCTTTGCACTGGGCTTTGTTCTAAATATTGGAACAAATTCTCACTGACTCATCCCTGTTATTCCTTACTTCACAGATCTTGGAGAAGTTGGCCAATGCCATATACTTGTGATGTGCAAAGCCACCATCCTCCAGTTACCCGAGAAACCTTGAATTCAGACTAGATGGGCCTGGCTTCAGGCTCTGCCCTTGGGATGGCTACACTAATGGCCACCCTTTCTTCGAGGACAAATTTGTCCAGGAATTGAGAAAGCAGCTAGTGTGGCTTTTGCAGGGGGCAAGGGTGGGGGTGTCCTGGCAGCACAAGGAGGTGAGAGGGAATTAAACCTTTTAAAGTAAATTGACCAGATGTCATGAAACATTGGAGAAAATTGAGGAAGAATTGCAAATACATCAGTTCAATGAGTATATATTCTATCACTTCCAATTCTATTTAAAAAATTTTTTTGTAGTTATAGATGGACAGAATACCTTTACTTTATTTGTTTATTTTTATGAGGCGTTGAGGATCGAACCCAGTGCCTCACACATACTAGGCAAGTGCTCTGCCACTGAGCTACAGCCCCAGTCCCCTATTCTTTTTAAACAACTTTGGGTATTGAACGTTCTCTACATTTCTGGGTAACATGAGTAATTGCCAAGGATGCTAGAGTCCCACACTCTGTGTTAGAATCCTGGCTCTGTGGACCCTGGGCAGACAGGGGGCTCCAGCCTCAGTGCCTCAATTCCTCCATTTTTAAAATGGTAACAGTACTACCACCTCCCTCCTAGGACTGAAGTGAAACTAAACTCAGATAATGAATTTCCTTCTGTCTTTGTTTTCTTTTTTTGGTACTAGGGATTGAACTCAGGGGCACCACACCACTGAGCCCCATCTTCAGCCCTATTTTGTATTTTGTTTAGAGTCAGGGTCTCACTGAGTTGTTTAGTGTCTCGCTATTGCTGAGGCTGGCTTTGAACTCAGGGTCCTCCTGTCTCAGCCTTAGGAATTACTGGGATTACAGGCGTGAGCCACAGCGCGCAGCTGAGAAAATGAATTTGGAACAGTGCTAAATAAATAAATTAAGTGCTCAGTAAATATTAATGTTTTTCAATAAAAATTACAATGGCAGGGTGGCAGGTGCCAGACCTCTCTGAATCATCCCTCATTGCTGGACAGTTAGGTTATAAATATATTTTTCTTCAATGAAACTGAGCTAAACATCTTATTGCATACAACTTTTTCTTCTTTTGAATTATTTCCATATCCTAAATTCCCAAGAAACAATTTTTCAGCCCCTCTGACATTTTATTCTCACAGGGGGTTAACTGTAGATGAGCACAGAGCTCAGTGGAAACTTACCCTGCGGAACAATGACATGGGAAAAGCCTATAAGGTGTGTCAGAGGTAGAGACTCTGAGGAACACTTTTCTGAGGAACATGTGTATTCATGTGTGTGTGTGTGTGTGTGTGTGTGCATGTGGTGGGGGGTGAGTGGGGTGGGGACAAGGACAAAGTCAGCTTCAGTTGTTTCACAGAGCATGTCATTCAAGGGTAGGATCTCCCAAGAAGACAAACTTGCGCTGCAGTGGAGCGCAGACCACGCACCCACCACCATGGCTTCTGACAAGCGTTGGGTGATACTCTCTCTGTCTTTGCAGCCCTCACTTTAGCCTTGTGAAGGAGGATGGTTTTCTTTTACCTGTGATTGGTCTGGATGCCCCTTCCTTGGCCCAGATGGTAGTGCTGTTGGGCTCTCTGAGGTCAGCCGACTGCAGGCTGCTGTTGGCCCACCAGGAGACCTGCTCCACAAAGCAGGAGGACAGTGGCATTCCAGCTTGCACAAAAAGGGTGCAGGCCAGCTCCATCTCGGTGACGTGACTGGAGTTGCGCAGTGTGGCATAAACAGCGTGCAAGAAATCTCTCACCTTAGGGTCTGTGCAAAAGAAGTAAGGATAAGCAGTCAATGGGGACTGTGAGGAAGAAGTCAGCACAATGTCCGTCTGCGTGTTGCATGGAAACGGGACCTCAGCAACGCACTCTTATTTCATAAGGTGTATCCCTATGCATAGTCAATTTAGAAAAGTCAGAGCTAAGCCCACTCAGGAATCAGCCTAGCTGGCTGGGAAGAAACCCTGCTGGAGACACGGCTCAGTGGTAGAGCACTTGCCTAGTAGGCATGAAGCCTGGCTTTGATTCCTAGCCAAAAAAAAAAAAAAAAGTAGAAGTTGGGAAGAAGCCATGCTAGATCTGAAGGAATCCAGCTGCAGTAGGGCACAGGGGTGCATGCCTGTAATCCCACTGACTTAGGAGGATGGCAAGTTCAACGCCAGCCTCGTCAACTTAGAGATACCCTATCTCAAAATGAAAAATAGAAAGGACTGGAGATGTGACTCAGTGGTAGAGCATCCCTGGGATCAATACCCAGAAAAAAAAAAAAAAGAAAGAAAGAAAAAGAAATCTGGCTGCAATGAAGTCAACTAAGATAAGGAGCTGTTTTTTCCTAAGATCCTGATTCAGGACTGTGGACAAGTGCTGGACTAGAGTGTCTAGAGCTGGGATAATGGAGGTCCAAAGTGCAGGGTGAAGGGCTTTCAAATATTTGCAAAGTCAAGAGCTTTATATGTAATGTCACAAGTAACAGTGATGGGCAGTGGCCAGGATGTTGTGTTGTCAAGATACCTTTCCTGGGGCCTTATATGACAGCATGTCATAAACCCAAGCAGCCTCTTTTAGAACTATGCTTTCAATTTGAAAAATACAGAGGAAAGGTAAGAACATTTCCCATCCCCCATCTCCCTACAACTCAGCAGAAGGCTCGTATTATTGCATCAGTGAGAAGCTGCAAGATTGTTGAGGAAATAACCATGGAGAGAGTGAGTAACGAGCTTCCACCTCCTTGGATGGCAGCTAGATTTCTATTTCTATACTATTTACATGGGAGATTGCTGCCTTGTCTCCATAATCCATGGCAGATTTTATTTTCATGCTACTATTTACAAGCTGCAGCTTCTAGACTCCCAAGACATCCCATAAGCTGGTATTCTGGGGGTGAAGCTCTGTAGGCTGCCTGCAGGATACCTCCTTCCTGTTCTCCTCTGTGCCTCACCTCATTCTCAGGAACATCCCTGTAGCTGTCCCCAAATCCTCCCTGCAAGACATAATGCCCTGCCATGTCACATACTGAGATGCATCTCTCACTCAGCTTGGGGTCTGTCCACTCTGACATCTTTCAGGTTGCAGAGGCCAAACCAGGAGGCAGCAGAAGACCTCTAAATAGCCTGGCTCACATCCTTTGGGAGGGAGCACAGTACCCAGAATTCCCCCTGGTTATGGCCCCCTGGCTGCCAACTATAGTAGCGGACAGATGTTATTCATCTACACATCACTCACTACTTCTTAGAATCCTGCTTAGAATCTTAGAAACTGCTTCTTAGAATCCACAACTCTAAAAAGCTGACTTGATCACATGAATTTCAGCCTAACTTGAGTTCTTGCATTGTATCATAGTGAGAAAAGAAATGAAAGTCCTTACAGTCAGATTTTACCTTAGCCAGGGAGGTCATCTGTATTTCTGGGATCACATCTCTGCAGAATGTTGGCTGTCTGCAGAGGAGACATTTCACTAGTTTGTAGTGTAGAGTGACCTTAGGGGTGATCTGAGCTTTTTCTCTGTCCCCCTACCTTCTCTGGGCCAGGAACCAGTGTTCTTACAAATGAACAGAGCAGAGTAAACTGGCTTGCGGTTGATTTTAGCATGAAGTCTGATCTCCATCTGAGCCGGCCTGTCCTTGCCCATTTGCACACAGGAATATGCCTTGCCAGAAATGAAAACTACTCTAGGCTGACAGTGTCAACAGACAGTGTGCGAGTGCTCTGCGTTCCTGATCACATTCAGTTCTTCCAACAGCCCTGTGAATGAATGCCTATTGTGATCCCCATTTATAGATGAGGGAGTTGAGCCAGAGAAGTCCATTCTCTGGCTCAGTTTCATCAAAGTGGTCAATGTCCTGTTGCCCACAGGGCAAGGGGCCAGTGGGCTGTGGACCCTCTGCTTGGGTGGCTTTGTTCTCTTGGGGATGAAGGTGGGCTGTGGAGCAAGTAGCCTCCTGTTTTGCTGTATTTGCTGTATTCCAGATCCTTTTCTGTGATGGATCAGACGTAACTGATGTGAGAGTGAGAACCCGCTTCTCCCACAGCCCTTGAAGCAGAATCCTGTCGCTGCTGGCTTTCTCTCTGCCTTCCTCTGAAATAGAAAGCTGCCTTTCTTGCTGCAAGAGGGGACATAATCAGGTAGTTCTAAGAAAATGCTGAGGGAGGGAAGGAAGACAAAGAAAAGAAAGCCACACGGGCTGTGGGACACCAGGGGTAGAGTGAAGGAGGTGTGAAGGGCTTGAGGAGAGGGTTCCTGGGACAAGTACAGAGTGATGGAAAGTACCCGAAGAAAGTCAAAAATTCTGCTGCAAAACAGTCTTTCAGCTCATTTGAGAGACTGGCATGGAAAGTACCTTCCTTTTTAAAATAAATCTGCTGCATTAACCTTCTTAATTATGACACTGAATCTGGTGGGTCTTGACTTTGTAAGGTTAAGGTGTATAAAATTCTCAAAGTGCAAGAACTGCCTTTTGGATGCTAATATTTTAATTGCCAGAGAAGGAAAAGAGGGTTTTTAGAGAGCTCTCCAGTGAGTTGGGTTGGGCTGAGAGGATCATGATGATGCTTTGTCGAGAAACAGAGAAGGCAGGGTGCTTATATATTTATGCAACTTCCCCATGGCTTAGAGTAGAGCTGAGGGGTTATGAAAAGAACATAAGATTTGGAGTCAGAAAATATGGCATTTGAATTCTGGCTCTGGCACTTGCCCATTAGGTGAGCTGAGTTTTGCAAGTCATTCACTCGTATTTGTAAAAAAGGAATATGAATAGAGGCTTAATATTATATATGGTTTCTGTGAGGATCAAATGACATCATGATGATAAAAGTAACTCCATATGCATCATGAAACAGAATTCTTTCCAGGGACAGATCACCTTTCATCTCTGAGGCTTCTCTGTGTTTCTAGTCCTGTTCTTGTTCTTAATAGAAAACACTGAAGTGTTCTTTATTGATCTCTCTGGACAAGGAAGATCCCTAGAAGTCGGGACTCTGGGAAATGGCGTGCTTCACGGAGTGAAAACAAGGTGCTCTTTGGAGAAATCTCTGGGGCCTGTTCTGAATCTCACACTGTGCTTCAAGGCTCAGAGGCAGGAACCCTGGCAAAGCTCCTGGTGGTCACACAGCGTCCGGATACACAGGAAGGGGACAACACTGGTGTGTCACACTGCAGACTTGGACAGTTCTTTCTGTTGATTAAAAAGGCACCGTACCCCTGGCCCTGGGCATGTTTTGCTGCGGATTTTATACTGTGCTATTGGTCTTAAAGAAAAGACTGGGTGGGGGCAGGTAGTGGGCATTGGTGTTAGTTTTAAGTAGTACACACATGATTTTCAGAGCTATCCTGATGCAAACCAAAGCATAGAGATAGTCTATTAACCAGAACTCTGAAAATGGCACATTCTTGTTCACAACTGTTATAGCTCCATAAGATAAATAAAGCAGTTTATGATTAAGAAAATTAAGTGGAATTATTATTATTATTACTATTATTATTTAGTTGGGTGGGGTACTGGGGATTAAACCTGGGAGAGCTTTACCACTGAGCCACATCCCCAGCCCATTTTATTTTTTATTTAGAGACAGGGTCTCACTAAGTTGCTTAGAGCCTCGCTAAATTGCTGTAATCCTCCTGCCTCAGCTTCCCGAGCTGCTGGGATTACAAGCGTGTGCCACCATGCCCAGCAAATGGGGTCATTGTTCCACGGAGTTTGACTATTGCGCATTCTTGACATTTGGTGATTGTTGAATGAGCTGAAAGGACACCCTGATCATCCTCACATCTGGTTACCAGGTACTGACACTGTACCCAACAACCAGAGCCAATCACACTGTTTCCTTTCTCTGCAGGTTGCAGCAATTGCAACTGTCTTTCCCCCAATCCTGACTTCAGTGAGGCTCTATTTTAAGACTAAAATGCCTGCCCTATCTTTCACATTCCTCGTTATTTTTCATAACTCAGCTCAGATGTCTCATCTTCTGGGGAGCCTTCAGATCTGCCAGGGGAATAAATCATTCCCTTCCCTGTACTAACTTATCTCCCATAAATGCACCATGGTGCAGGGTTAGAGTGTATTGCTACTCTGAGCCTGAGCTGCCTGTGTTCAGGGTTTTCTGTACACATCTGGATGCCAAGACCCTCATGCTGTACCAGTACATGCAGTTGGTGCCCCACGGCCCTGGGTGACTTGCCTTGCACCAGATCTAATGGGGTTGAAGAATACATCTGTGGATCTGTGCACTGCTGGGATATACTTATTGAGAACAATTAAGTTCAATAAACTATTTTCTGCTTCAGTATCCCCAGAGAGAACCCACATTTGTCTGTGGCCAGCATGGTCACCATCATTGTCTTGGAGCTTCGGAAGCTCAGTTGGAGCCTTAGGGCCTGACATGTTGGGTACTAACCTCTACTTGCTAACTCAGAATTCTATTTCAACGGAAGCTCTCACCAGGCTGTGTTGGTATTGGCTCTTGTGCTTTCTGGCAAATCAGTTTATACAGAGCTTGTCCCATCCTTCTTATTAAGATCTTATTCTGAGATAAAGAAGAAAAAGCCCGTGTGTGCTTAGCATGGAGATGGTGAGTGGGCATTGAGCTGGTCCCTGAGAAAAGTTCAGCTGAGGCTGAGCTACATTCAAGAAACTTGCTGCTGTTGGCAGAGATGCTCTAAGATACAGAATTCATAAAAATAAGCCAGCAGATTGAACACTGGCCAGAAGTCACAGATTCATGAAAAACATGGGCTTTGGAGCCAGAGAATCTGGGCTTGAATCCAACTCTGCCCCTTACTGGCTGTGTGACCTCTAGCAAGTTGCTTCCACTCTCTGTGCCTAGTTGCTCATTTCCAAAATAAGGATGATAATAAAGTCACCAACCTCCATGGGATTGTTGTGGTAATTATGTTTATAAGGTGCTTGCAACTCGGTCTGGCACTATAAAAGACCGTGTGAAACGAAACCAAATTATTACTGAGGAACATGATGCTAGAAGTGAGCTTTAAAAATCAAGGGTAACCGCCATTCCAAAGTCTGAATGCCTTCTGTTGCCTTCCTGCCCAGTGGTCATCTTTCTGCATGAGAGCACCACTGGGGGCTGAGCTCCTGCCTCCCTACCCCCTACCACCTGAGCAGTGAGCGAGAATGAGAAGAGTAGGCATGAGGAGTGAGAGGGTGAAGAAGCCTGCACGTGGGGGCCTCTTACCGTGCACGGTGTACCCCAGAGCGCCTGCCAGCTGCTGGCCAGTGTTCCCCTGGGCTCCAAACTGCAGGATCTCCAGCGGGAGGGACACGCCGGTGGGAGAGATGACAAAGTTTGTGCCGTTTCTACCTGCTGCTGCGCTCCGGTAGAGGCGAAGTGCAAACTCAGTCTTTAGCATCAGCAGACTTTGGGGGAGGTGGCTGTGCCCTCCAGGGAAGCAGAAGTGAAGGAGGAAGAGGGTGATGTGCAGGAGAGGCGACATGGAGACTGCTACTGCTGCTGCTGCTGCAGGTCCTATAATTCAGAGGGCAGAGAAGCGGATGCGGAGGGATGCTGGTGGTGCTGCCAGCGCATCCCACAGAGGACGCCGCTGCCCCGCTCTGATTGCTCGGTATTTAGTGGCTGGAAAAGGCCAGAACAGGGAGGTCTTCATCCAGCTGCTCTGGTCCCCCCGCTCACAGTCCCACCTGCCCCGGTGGCTTTACTGCACATTTTGTGTTAGCATTGGGAATATCCACACTTGCTGGGATGCTTTACAAAACCAAACCAAGGGTTGGAAGACCTGCTTCTGTCTTTGGCAAGACCTGAAGCAAACCATTACGTTGGGAAAAGAAATGTAAGAAGAACATCCTACTCTTTTCTTTTGTATTTAGCCAACTTATAGCTGTGCCATGTTTATCACAAATATTATGACGACTAATCATTATCATCATCATCATCATCATCATCGTCTACCATGCTAAAAAGGACTTTTTACATTCTCAGTTGTTCCAAAAATCTTACTTGGTAGCTGTTATCAGATTTCATCTCCAGGGATAGTGATTAAGGTTTAGAGAGCCCAGTGACTCATGTACATGGGGAAAGCAACAGGGCTATAACTTAAATCCTGTGCATTATACATGTGCATTAAGATACTGATATATGAGTTAATTGTGAACTAGAATGCCAGAATTCTTGTGATGTGAATCATTCTCATAAAAAAGAACACTTTCACAGAGAAGAGAATTAAACAAAGTAAACCTACGCCAGAACTGTACCCTCCCAGGGAAGGCAGAACATCCACAGGCTAGAAGTTCATGCCAGAAGAGCAAAGAAATGTTTTCAATGGCTATGCCACATGTCCAGCCAGCAGCAATTTTGGCTAAGTGGTCTAACTCTGAAATCACGTGGAACTTCCTGTAGAAGTTTGCAAGCAAGACTCTCAGTGTCCACATTAGATAATGACCCAAGGCAGAAAGCCTGTCTCTCGTTCTTCAGCTCTTTCTCCAGGTATCCAAGTGCAAATGCAGCACCAGATAGATGTCTTTGGTACCACAGAAGTGGGGATGTGCGTGTGTGTGCGCACGTCTGGGGGTAGAGGGTCCCAGCCCAGGGTCATTTGTGAAAGCTCAAGCCCCACTTCACAAGCCTTGCAGCTCCTATAACCTCCCACAGGAACACGCAGCTCCCAGCAAGTGGACCTGGACCTCGATGTCCCGGGCTCCCCATGACCCAAGCCCCGCCATAGTTCATCTGGGAGGAGTTGCTTACTCACGCACTCTTGGACCAAAGGGTTGCGCTTCCTTGGTTGGTTCTGTTCTTGTGGGTCTCCAGCGTTAATGTGCTCCCTTTTAAAAAAGTGGAGCAGAATCTGCTTTGAATCACAAGACAGCACAGGGAGGAAGCTGGCGACGGCCGTCTCTGCCGGCGATGTCTCTACCACTCGGTCCAAATTCCTAGAGGCTGGAGGTACTGTAGGGAGCCAGGAGAAGCAGCCCAACCCTGGCAGCAAAGCCCAGATCGGGAACAGAGTGGGACCCTGGGGACAGAGCCAGCCACACCCGTCAAGCCTTCTTAGGCTTGTGACCTGGTTGTACCAGCAAGGAACCCCTCATCCAGCCCTTTGTCACTTTGAGGAATTCCACTGATAACTCTGTAGGGCTTTTGCTGGGTACCAGGTACTTAGTGCTTCTCCCCCTCCTCCTGTGAAGAGAACAATAATTCAGTCTTTGGGCCTGACCTGAAACTTTGAGCAAATGGAATTCTGCGATAGACCAGGAAAACAAAGCAAGGTACGGCACACTCAGTTGGGAGCAGGATGTTTTGCCTTGTTTATTACTAATCAAAGGGAGTGCACTCATTTATGTATAAAAAGCAATATTTACAATCTTCTCAGATACAACAGCTAAAAAGCACAATGAATTCATTTGAGAGAATAGGACCTTATTGTCAGTGAATAAATGCACATTTTTGGAAAGTATGGAATTCTGCAATAGAGAAGGAGAACAAAATTTCTGTCAAAAGTTGTTCCTGTGACTGATCCAGAATGACTTACATTTCTATTAAGGCCTTAGGCATTGCTTTCTGTTCAAAATAGAATGTGAATTATATGTTGTGAAAGATTAAAGAAAAGAAGAAAGGGATTGAAAACAAAAGCAATTTTTAGTAATTATCTCTCAGGCATCTGTTAGTGTTAAAATGAAAAGTTAAAGGACTATTTTTAACCTAACTACCTATTTCCCTATAATCAGTGGGTAATTCATTTTTATTTATTTATTTATTTATTTACAGTACTAGGGGTTGAACACAGGGATACTCTACCACTGAGCTACATCCCAGCCCTTTTTCTTTGGAGACAGGGGCTCACTAAGTTGCCCAGACTGGCCTTGAACTTCTTGTGAGCCTTCTGCCTCAGCCTCTCAAGTTGTTGGGATTACAGGCATGGGCCAGCCACTGAGCTCCGCAGGGTTTTCTATTAAAGCAGAGTTGTATTGCTGAGGTCCATGCCTGGGATAAATTATAGGTCTTAATAATGTTATAGTTCTGTAATTGTTTTACACGAAATCTTCCCAAATCCTTAATTTGGATTTAATTTCATTATTGTATGCCTTGGACTTTAAACAATAGTGTGCCAGGGGAATAAATATGTTTAACTTATTTTATAACATCCAGGGAAGGCATATCATCCACCCATCCATCCATCCGTCCATTCATGCAACTGGTCACCTGATCCCCTGCTAGGTGCCAAAGCTCTGGACTGGGTCCTGGGGATATGACTGTGAACCAGCATCCTGAACTCAAGTCTTCCAGGACCTGAGTCTTGCTCACTGAGTACTTATTTAGAAATGGTGGCAAGAAAAGCCATAGTAATTGTGAGGGCTGTCTCACAACATCGTGGAATCCACATGGCTGGAATGATTTGAGCAGAGGCTTGGTTCACTATTGGTCAGTGGTACAGTGGAGAGGAACTTGTAAAACAACTTCTCAAATTGAGACTTTATGAACATTCTTTCCCAACTCTAAGAATGTGCCATTCTAAATTGCTTTAAAAACACTTTAAGGAACAATGTTAAGGAAACATAACATACAAGAGATATTTCGTATGTAGGTTATATATTTCAAAGTGTGAATGAATGGTGACTGATTTTCCCTTTGTGTATCAGCTGTGAACCTGGGTGGGCCATTGATGTCTCTGACCATTTAAGCAGAGATTATCCTATTCATTTCTACTGTGCTGGGATAGATATTTGCTATGCAGCTAAAGGGGGCTCGATTCTTGGAGTTGTTTACTCATTATTGTAACAACAAAAATGGTGAACATTATTGAGCACTTACAGTGTTCTAAGTACCCCTGCTAGATAATTCCCATGCACAATTACAACAAAACATCACAACAATCCTATGAAGAAAGTATATTATTCCCATTTTTAATTAATTTTTAAAATTTATATATGACAGCAGAATACATTACAATTCTCATTACACACATAGAACACAATTTTTCATATCTCTGGTTGTATACAAGTATATTCACACCAATTCGTGTCTTCATACATGTACTTTGGATAATAATGTCCATCACATTCCACCATCATTTTTAACCCCCTGCCCAAAGAAACTAAGGCTGAAGAGCTTAAGATTTTGCCCAAGGTCCTGCCAGCCTGAGCTGGGGTTTGAATCTGGGTTCACCTTGACTCTGAGGCTTATGTTCTTCATCACAGTCTTGGTGGTGCCTGCAGGGGCCACTATTTGGGTGTCTTGAAATCTTCTGTGGAAGTGGAATTTGAAGGTCTTTGGTGGCCAGCCCAGATTTTATTGGCTTGTGATGTGTGTCTCCTCCACTTGCATATACTTGAGATTCTGCAGTGAATCACCTGTAGACAGATTACATCTTTTTAATTATGGTGCCTAATTTTTCACAAGCTGATTTCTTATAGGCATAAACAAACCACTTTCAAGCCCAGAGGTCTACCACTGGGATGGATAGAAACACTGAATTTTAACTCTGTTAGTATGCAATACACAGTCAACTCCTCTTTGTTGTGTGGGCTGCTTGTCTGGAGTTGTACAGAGAGAGTCCCCATGTGTACCTCTGCCCTTGAGGAGTCCATCATGGAAAAGAAAGTATGCCACTGATTGACCCACGGATGCCAAGGGATGCCATTGAAAAAAGTCCCAGGGTGTGGCCAGATGAAGCCAGAAAGCAAAGGAAGGGTACCTAGCACTTGATGTCACAGAATTAGACAAAACTGGCAAGTCCCTCAGGGAAAACCATGCAGCTGAACTTCCGCTTGTCCTGCCAGGAAGAGAAGGATGGAGAAGACCGCCTCTGGGTTTCCTGCTGTGGAGACTGACAGTTGCTACATGGCTCTTATCTTCTTCTTAGGTACCTAGTGCATAGTGTCAAAATGAACTCTGGGACTTCTCCACCTTGTAACACCTTTTAGTAGGGCCTAGTGAAGAATGTTCATAGCCCTGGCTTCCTATAACTGCTGCTTACTAACTATAGCCCTTGCGCAAGTCACTGAGCTGCACTGAGATTTTACTTAGTTCTTCTGCCAAATGGACTCATAATACCTACCTCTCACTGTGAAGAGGCAAGGAGACAGGCTCTATGAAGCCTCTAACACAGTATCTGATGAGTAGGAAAGGCTAAGAACATCAGTTTCTTTGTGTTGTGTCCCCTTGTGCTACTCAGCTTTCTGTTACTATGACAAAACACCCGAGTCAATCAACTTGTAAGATGGAAAGTTTTAGTTTGGCTCACAATTTCAGAGGTTTCAATTCATGCTTCCTTGGCCCCATTTTCTCTGGGCCTGTGGTGAAATAGAACATCATGGCAGTGAGCTATGTGGTGGAACAACTTGCTTACCTCATGACAGCTGAGGAGAAGGAGGAGAGGGAGGGAAGGAGGGAGGGAAGGAGGGAGGGAGGGAGGGAGAGAGAGAGAGAAGAAAGGACAGGGTACAATATCCCTCTCAAGGGCATGAACCCAGTTGATCT